TGAAAATAGAAAGAGTGAGGAAGAGTGAAAGGAAAAGAGAGAAACAGGTAGAGAGAGAGAGGGGCGAGAGCGGTATCTTGAGCTGAAAATACAAAGAGGTTGGAGTGAGTATAAAAGTCCCCATCATTTCTCTCCAAAAGTTTTATCTCTTTTATTCTGAACTGGAAACTCAAGGAAGAAAAAAAATAACGGCATTTTTTTTTGCCACTGGATTACCGACTTCAGTTTTGGAATGTTTCTCAGGCGTAAAACCTCGTTTTCTTTACTATGTTTATTACAGTTATTCAATCTTTCTTTTTCTTTTTTTCTTTTTTTATGCTCTCTCCTATTTCTTCTCTTGCCGCCGTTCCTGCGACTAAACCTACGCCTCGATCCGACCCTCTTGTGTCTTTTCCTGCCGTCTACTCGGAATAAAAGCAAAGCATTTATCGAGGCACGCCAATTATTCGTTTTTGAAAAGTGTATAGATAAACAGTACATAAAACAAAACCAAATGAATAACGGCTATTCTCACAGGACGTTTTGGTAGCAAGCTTTTCTGTAGGATGTTTGTCAATATCTAAAGCACTCTTCTCCTTCTGTGGTTGTGCGTTTCTGTGTCAGTCTCTCCGTGAATTAATGAGTGTATTTTGGCTAAAGAAGAATAGAGTTAACTCATTTTAAATCAATAGGTAAATAATGTTCGATATACGAGATCAAATCAAGGAGTATCGGGAATGGTGCTATAAAAAGAAAACAATTCATATCAATCCGGCATTTAGTCTCCTTCGAAGTAGTCCCCTTCTGAAGCAACACTTTTTATCCAGAGAAGTTTTCATTGATGGAGGCATTCCTGGAGCAGCTATTAGGTTTCCTCGGCGTCTTGAAATCTTGTTCCTTTCAAGTAAGATTTGATTTTTGGAGGAAAACTTTGCAAGTTGCAACATATGGAAAATATTGAGGTTGTCGGATCTGGGAAATGTTGTACTTGATCAAAACGTGTTGGACAAGACATAGCCATTGATAGAGCCTCTGTGGTGTGGTCAAACGATTACAGCCTATCTACACACTTCCCTTCCAATCACTTCTATAAACACCGGAAGTGAGCGAGAACGACACCACTCAGTGAGCATGCGCAATATAGTTCAAGGTATCGATGTACCCAGCGGCTTCCTCTTCCTACTTTACCTCTGTTACCATAGCAACAGTCCCGATATTTTTTTATCAGACCTAGTATTTGATCCTGCACTTTTCATGGAAAAAAAATGTAGTAAAAACATGTGTATATATATATATATATATATATATATATATATATAAATATTACTGGTTAATACATACATACATACACACACACACACACACATATATATATATATCTACTCTCTCTAAAGCTTTCATTTACCTCTCACATTCGCCCCCCACTCTCATACATACACTCTCACTAAATTTTATGTTTTATTCTCGGAGTTATTTTTTCTGATTTCTATTTGAATTTGTAGGTTTGATGAATTGGGTGGTATTTACGATTCCAATATAATAAATTATAACCATGGAATATTAGTGTTTAAGCCTTTTTATTATTATTATTATTATATATATATATATATATATATATATATATATATTCTTTTTGTTTCCATCACTTTTCTTAGTAGGTATGCCTCACTGTGGTATTAGAAGATCTGACAGAAATGGTCATATGCTGTAAGAGATGTAACAAATTTAGTCCGATGAAATCCTAAGAGCTAGGGCAGGCACATAATTGAGCTGTCTCATTATGGTGGGCACCCATAGCATTTGATGTATTATTTTGTAAAATGTCCCTTTTGTGTTCATATATTCTTTTATTTAGATTCTTTGAGTTTTTTCCTGCGTATTTTTTTGTGATAATTATTACAGGCAAAGGGGAAAACTCCTCCTTCAGGTTTTCGCTTATTGTTTTGTTTAGTATTGATAAAGTCTTTTATTATTTTGGATGTAGTAGTAATTTTTTTTTATTTAATCGAATTCATTTAGTCATTTTTTAATTCCATCAATTTTGTTCGTACGTATTCCGCACCGTGTTTATAGAAGAACGCCCGAGAATTGTGATATGTGGTAAGAGTCGTACCAACCAAAACCAATAATGAAACGCATCACAAGTAAACCTTTTTCCAATATGCCATAAAAATATATATCGTTATCATATATATATATATATATATATATATATATATATATATATATATATATATATATATATATATATGCAAATATATTCAAAAAGGAAAGAACCGTTAGGTTAATAATCCGAAGTATTTTTGTTTTTATTTTAACAAACAGTACTTGATACACAAGTAGAGCCTATATTATAATTATATATTTATATTATGAATGTATATGCTTATAAAGCTCCGTAAATTTCAAAATTAGTTATTCCAAAATTCACTTGAGGATAAAACAGAACTAGGTACTTTAATTTAAATTAATTTCTATAATTGAAGTGGAAGTTTTTAAATTCTGTTTTTGAAACATGGTAATTCCTGTGTAACGATGGAATATATATATATATATATATATATATATATATATATATATAGATAGATAGATAGATAGATAGTGTGTATAGAGTCATATAACAGTAATACAGGGTGCTAGAGAAAAACAATAACAACAAATTGCAATATGAGCTTTGGTAAAAAAATGTTTACTGAGACATTAGGTTTGTAAGTATCACACATTCATTTACTGATGTGCCCAGTGGATAAGAGCATTGATTAAAGTAATCCAATGATTTGACCCCAAAAGTTGTGAGTTCAAATCCTGGCCACAGCATAGATGAACAAAAACTTTGAGAGTTGAGTTACTAAAGGGAAACAATTGAAACTGAGATATCCAGAAAATGTATGACACACGTGGAACTGGAAAAATGTACCCCGGTAGACGGAATAAAGGGTACGATTCGAAATTCCAACGTATATCACCTGAAGAAGGCAGGAGTGTACAACGGCCGAAACGTTGTACGTTTCGGCTTCCTTCAGTATCTGTCTGTATTTGTGAGATGAGGCATTGTAAATATTTACACTATTTACATTGTTCGGACCGTTGTCTTCATCATTATTGTCATATTTTCGAAGTTTCGGAAGTTCTACACTTCGGCCTTCTGCAGGTGATATTCGTCCCCAAAGACACACAACTCAGTTGATAAAAGCGTTGTTTGAAGTAATACAATGACTTGACCGAAAGAGTCCAAAAGGGAAATATCCAGAAAATGCAAAGTACATGGAAGTAGAACAATCTACCTCGATGGACGAAATAAGCACCATTTCAAAGAATAAGATTGACACTTGGCTGTTTAACCGCTTCGTATAAGTGATTCGAATATCTTTAGACGTCCTTTACAATTAGTTCTTTTTAGAACAATAATCATCTACAAGGACTTTTCGTACTTGAGCAAATGGCTGTATATGAGTATTTAACTAATTATATATATATATATATATATATATATATATATGTGTGTGTGTGTGTGTGTGTGTGTGTGTGTGTGTGTGTGTGTGTGTGTGTGTGTGTGTGTGTGTGTGTGTTCATGTGACAAGTTTTAACCGTTTGATTTTTATTGTATTTTTTCAATTCAGATATTGTAGTCCAAAGTTCCCAGTTATTATCACGAACTGGGTGTTCCGCTGTGGTATGAGTAAAATAATCAACTGTGTTTTTAAAAATATAATAAAAATTCAAAGAAAATTTACGCGCTATCTGTCCAATTAATTTTTTTTTTAATTTTGTATTTAGTTTAAAAAATAACCATAGTTACTTTAACATTTTCAAGAACTTCAATTTTATGTTAAAAAATAAAAGGGAAAATAGCAGTTAGTTAAAGAAGCATGATGCCAGATTTAATATAATCAAAGAGGAGATAGATTTTAAATTTTAATATGATAGTTGACTGGTTAGAATGTGAAAACAAATCAAACGACTTTTATTTATCACTCTTTTAAATGTATTTAACACATCAATATTAATTGAAAATTAAAATCATTGTATATACCGTATATTCTCGTGTAACGTACAATATTTTAATTACAGCTGTACTTTTTGACTAGAGTAAATGGATATATAGTTTGGTCAACAGCGTAGCCAGGGTCAGCAAGACATACGGTAATTTTATATCTTGTGTATAATGCGATCTCCTTAAAAAAAATCTTCAAAATTAGGTCTTGAAAAATCGCATGATACGCGAGCATATAACATAGTAAATAGTAAAACAAATCTTTCAAGCTAAAGTTAGTAATTCTATGTTATGAGTAGATGATTGTTTATTGGATATGGTATTTCTTTATCTCTGCTATTCAAATCACGGAAATGGGTCCATGAATTTTATATACATTTTTAACGAAATAAAAAAAATTAACAAATTAATAAACAACTGAGATGTCAACAGTTGTTCATTTACGAAGATGTACTGAAAGGTTCTTCACCTGACTGGTGTCTTTTTCAGTTCACCCACGAAGCTACAGAATAGGACACAAGGTCAGTTTAAAATGGTTTTAACAGCAAACCCGTGTAAAAAATGCCTTGGTCCTCCTCGGCACTTCCACTCAGGCGCTGGACAATAAACCCAAAGGAGAGGTACAGCCTTGTGGGAAGACCCTGGGACTTGAGATTTCCCTGCATAGACATTCACATATACAAGGGAAGTATGTTGATTTTTCTAAACTAGATGTGGTAACGATATATATATATATATATATATATATATATATATATATATATATATATATATAAATGAGGCACAATGATGAAAGTATGGGGCACACAGTGAGAATCGAACTCACTACAGAGTCGTAATTGTTTAACGAGACAAGCTTCCTAACCATTACACCATGTCGAGGTTCTCCACCGGACTAAGAAGGGATCCTGAAAAAAAGCATGTTGTTTGGTTATTTGGTCAAATATGTGGAAGTGGTCGCGGCCAAAAACTTTTCACCATCTCATGTTTCAACGAAATAGCTGGTCATATTTTTCCTGGCTTTGGCTTACGGCCACATCGCGTTGAAACACCTGTTCCCGTAAGCTTACCGAAGTTAAGCAACGTTGTATTTGTTCAGTATCTAGGTGGGTGGTCGCATGGGAAAAACAGGTTCTGTAAGCTTGGATACGTGGATGGTATGTCTTGCAGGGGAGATAATAAAAGTTTAGTGATACAACTTTTATTATCTTCCCTGGGAAAATTATTACAATCTAAAAATATTTTCTGACTTTAAATAACCTGCAAAGGGTTGATAAGCCGTAGAAAACGAATCAATCAGTCAATGAAATACTGACTAGCTACACATGTGTCTTCTAGTTTTATTTACATTCTCTAGAATATAAATGTATAGAAACATGTGGTTACAAAGTGAGGGATCAGTTTATATATTGATTTTAATATAGAATTAATCCCCTACACATTGTAAGCTATTTGTTTATCAAATTCTAATTAGGTTTGAATCCAACTCTTCCAGTAAGACTTGTTTTACTAACCCATTATTATCTATCATGAAAAAATTCTTACAATCTAAAAATATTTTCTGGCTTTTAATAACCTGCAAATGGTTGATAAGCCGTAAAAAACGAATGAATGAATCAATGAACTGTTAGAATTGGTTGTTTACATCAGAGTATGTGATCATTTATTTAGTTCGGGAATAGTTAAATATTGGTTGTTTATATCAGAGTCTGTAAACATTTATTAAGTTCAGAAATAGGTAAATATTAGTTCTTTACATCACAGCCTCTAAACATTTATTAAGTTCGGGAATAGGTAAATATTGGTTATTTATACCAGAGTCTGGAAGCATTTATTAAAATCGGCAGTAGGTAAATATTGTTTGTTTATATCTGAGTCTGTAAACATTTAAGTTCGGGAATAGGTAAATATTAGTTGTTTATATTTGAGTTTGTAAACATTTATTAAGTATGGCTACATATAAAAAAGCGGGTGTTCCATTAAGACGTATCAAAGTCAGCAGTAAATAATTCAGTGTTATTGGTAAAAAATTTATTCATTTCTCTTTTGAATCATGTTAAGTCATGGCAATTATGAATGAAAAATAATATCACCCAAATGTCCGCCAAGGCTTCGGCATCACACCTCCACTCAATGGTCGAAATATTTGATTAGGTCTCTGCATATTTGCTCCCTGATCTCACAAATATACCTTATTATCTCATCCTTCAGCTGTTGAATTGTTGTTGGCTTGTTGGTATAGATCTTACTTTTGATATTACCCCTAAGGAAGAAATCTGAAGGTGTCAAGTCGCACGATTGTGGTGGTCAATTGATTTCGCTGTTTCGAGAGATGATGATGCGACCTGGGAACTTCTCAATCAAATACTGTTTGAAAGTCCATTTTCATAATAGGCTTCGATAACTTGAAAACATTGTTTGATTGTTAATCTTTCCATGGTTTAAATTGCCAAAGACTTAAGTTGTTACATCTGAAAGAAAAAGAAAAAAATCATTAGACGTTTGAATTTAATTCACATTTAAAATCGGTATAAGTTATTGAACACTATTTATTACTCGTTTATATTTGAGTCTGTAAGCATTAATTAAAATCAATAATAGACAAATATTGATTGCTTATATTTGAGTCAGTAAACATTTATTAATTTCGGGAATAGGTAAACATTAGTCGTTTATATTTGAGTTTGTAAGTATTAAATTAATTTCGGGAATAAGTAAATATAGGTTCTTTATAGTTGTGTTTTTAAGCATTTATTAATTTCAAGAATGGGTAGATATTGTTTGTTTATATTTGATTCTATAAATGCTTACTTTGTAAGAGAATCGATCTCCTTGATATCAGACGTTAGTAGAATGAGGTGTGGTTCTATCGATAAATGCTGAGAATATCAAGAGTGAAAAGGAAATTTTAAGAAAAATAAATCCACCTCCTCTTCCCTCAGCTTTCTTGAGTTAATTAGAAAGATTTGTGGCACTAAAAACAAAAAACCAAATTGCTGACAAAAAATAAATTTGCCTACAAAATATTTAGAATTCAGCATCAAATAATATATCGATGTTGATATGACGCAAATAGAAAATAAACAACTTACAATTTTCTTGACTTTGGTTTTTTTCATATAGCCTAATGTCAGCATTACAGATAATTTTCTAGGTTTGGTAGTCCTGGGTATGACGATAAACTACATCCGGCAACAAAGACTCTCATAGAATGATTGGAGATTTTGAGTAGCATGGAACCACCGCTTAATTGCTGTTCCCAGGCAGACCCTGACCTGGTGTGGAAGCAGCTGTTAAGGACTCCCCCCTCTGGGTAAATAGTGGACCCCGAAACAGAAGCAAAACACTATGAAATTATAAAAATACATTTTTATAGTAAATATACTAGCAAAAGAAATTTTATAAAAATATGACCAACAATACCTATTTATAGTAAAATGATCAACAATATATTTTATCTGTAGTTGAAGACATACAAATAAGTTCAAAATATGTAGACTTAGGCATTAAATAACCCATAGATATGTAGATATGCCACTAAACAAAACCTACAAAAATACAATACTTTTTTATAAAATTCGTAAATCGAACTGTATTCAACAAAACTATAACATTAAATGCACCCATCATCGCCTACAAAACCACAACATAAAATACACCCATCATCGCCTAAAAAACTACAACATAAAATACACCCATCATCGCCTAAAAACTACAACATAAAATACACCCATCATCGCCTAAAAACTACAACATAAAATACACCCATCATCGCCTACAAAACTACAACATAAAATACACCCATCATCGCCTAAAAGACTACAACATAAAATACACACGTCATCTCCTCTAGTAAACGTGTCTATAAAAACGTGTCTATGAAACAAAAGCTGGGTATCATCTACCATGTATTCAATTGTGAAAGCATACCATATTTTTATCACTTCAAAACTCCCAAGAAAATTAAATTTCGGCATTAAATGTCCCATAGATTTGATACGCCGTTAAACAAGCAAGGAAACAAACCTAAGTTCGGTCACCAGGGTCGTTATGATGTCCTCACCTACTGCAATCATAATTCTGAACTTTGTATGTTACACTTCATAAATTGTTAAGTAAAGACGACTTTTTGTCAGGGTAAGTTTTCATCTCGGGGTCTGTCCGCCCGTCTGTCGTTTGTCTCAACGTCTAAGCCCGGTTCTCGACCTTTCAGTCACTCTCCTTACTTAGCCTGACAAAACTAATTTCTGCTGTGCCCAACGCCATTCTTTCGACGATTATTTATTCGGATTTCCGATAGATGTTAGCCACTGTTTTGTCCCTTTTGTTCTTGCCGCGGATTGGCCTTTGCCTAAATACTTACGCATTTAATCGTTTAAGATGTCATACTTAACTAACGCTTACATCGGATGAATGGCTTATGGCAAAGAGGAAGCTTGAAATTTCCGTCATACACCCAGGGATGGATGAAAATGGATCCTCCTTTGTTCCCCTGGACATATTTTTCGTGTTTTTTTGCGTCAATCTATCGGTGTTTGTTTGTTTGTGTCTATATAAACAGACGCATGCACACATATACACTTCCCAAAATACGTTTTGCCAAACCAAAGATAATTATATAAATCGTTTTGTATAAAAGTAACACATTTTTACACATTTTAGTAATGTATTGATCCTTTTTAATATACATCCATCTATATACACATATATATGTATGTATATATTTAATATATTTTCTGTTTATACGTTATTTTAATAGATTTTTTTTTTTAAGTGCGTGTTTTTATTGTGGGGTGTTTGTTTAATTAAACAGTATTAATTACATTTACCGTTAAGCTGCGTTTCATGAGCATATATAATCGATCGAGGAAAATAATCGAAGATTGTGTGTTTCAAAGCAGAAATCTGGACTTTGCTAACTAGACGCTTCTCTATAGTTAAGTGGTATAGCACATCAGATCAAATGACGGTTCTGTATAAGGATGCAGGTTCGATTCCTGTTGGAGAACGCATATTTTCACGAAGTTTCTGTATGCCCAAGAATATATATATATATATATATATATATATATATATATATATATATATATATATATATGCCTGATTGAATAAATTACAAACGTAATATCTGCTTATTTTGATCATAATCCTTAGATATTCATGAATATTTTTCTGTATATAATGATCAAAATATGTAGACTGTTCTAGTTCCATGTGCCATGTCTAATGAACGTCAATTATCAGTTATCTCCTGTTAATTAACCTCTCCAAGTTCTCCACTGCCTTATCCAGGTATTGAACTCACAACGCCTTTATCCACTCTGCCATGTGTCTTTAAGAACACATGGCACACCGAGCGAAATAAAGGGTTCAGTTTGACATTCCAACCACCTGAAGAACGCCGGAGAGTACAACGGCCAAAACGTTGTGATAAACATGGCAACAAAGATGAGAACAATAATCTGAATAATGTAAATAGTGTACATAATACCTCATCTCAAAAATATAGACAGATACTGATGCGTTTGTCATTTATTCAATCAGTATACCTAAAAGAGAATTTGCTGCCTAAATACAAAATATATATGAATATATGGTGGACTCTCCAGTCGTATTAGAGTCAAGCAGCTCAGTCCCTAGAAACAGACACCAGCACATATGATTTGATTATAGTGATAAGGGCTTTGTCCAGAAACAACCACACTTTTCGATGATCCGAATACAGAGACCTGGTGCACTACGTGCCACAAAGTCCCCAAACGACCCTCCGCAGGTTTTGGATACAGAGTTGTCCTTCTAGACTATTTTAAGACCATTCTAGGCTATAGAACCCAGACTGTTGTGCTATTTAGCAAGTGGGTTCCTCAATACGACTCGCTATCCACTACTCCACCGTGCCTTATATATATATATATATATATATATATAGATAGATAGATAGATAGATAGATAGATAGATAAACCTAGTGAGTCAGACAAACCTACCCAGGTTTCACCTAAGCGGAGAGCCAGCTTTCTCTGACGATCCGCTTAGGTGAAACCTGGGTAGGTTTGTCTGGCTCACTAGGTTTATCTAGGTCTGCTCTACGGTTGGATTGAGCTCTTTTGTTAGTTGTTTACTCGTGTCGGGGTTTTTTCTTT